ACAGCCCGATGCACGCTTATTCGCGGATCTTTGTTAATTAAAATCTCAGTAACTATTGCGAATCTAGCAAAATGGTATAAGACTTTTCGACTCAGTTTTACTCCTTCTACCTGCCTACGAAAGATTGTACGGCCATTCTGGGACACCCTGTATATATATGTATATGTGTATATATATATATATATATATACACACATATAAATAAAATATATATATATATACATATATATACCGAGGTAAATAATATATATATATATATATATATATATTTTATATATAATAAAGTAATATGTATAACATATATAAGGTAATCATCAATACATGACATTAAGGCGCCAATTGTATTACAGTGAAACATCTCGCGATATATATATAGATAATAATTCCTTTTTTTCTTTTTTTGCGCGCGGCTGCTGTAATATTTTATTCAAAATACGCATCGAATGTCTTGTAATTATGATGTACATTCGCAATATTAAACAACTTGTCATATTAAATAGATATATTGCTTTATCGATCCTTGGTGTAATTGTGCTTGCCTAATTACGAAAGCGTTACAATATATATCGAACGTTCTCTAATCGTGTGATATATATATATATATACATATATGTATACACATATATATACATATATGCATGTATATATACTCACATATACATTAAACAACTTCTCATATTAAACGTATATTATACTTTATTTACATTTGAGCGACGGATACAGAGTAACTTCTATCGAATTGCAATAATATGCTAATTACACTACTAATTTTACTGATAAAAAATAAATGTCATAATCACGACATGACATATCGCATATAGATTATCAGCGTAAGACAGTAATGTGGAGGAGTAAAATATAAGAGAAATACATGACACAATGCAGTTTATGTACTTTCTTAATGGTTTGTTATTAAGCAAGTAAAGTTTAAGGTTGAGGCAATAACATTTGTTAAGTTGTACACCGAACAAATCGCGAATTGTAAATGTAAGATACGTTAGTTCCAGATTAATATATAAATCGTGTCTCAATTGCGTGTCACTTTTGTTTTAAATTTGTTATATTGTTATTAGAAATGTGAGAGTTTTATTAAATATACTTAAAAAATGAGGAAATATATATATTCTATTTTCTTAATTAATAGATGAAATTTAAAACAGAAGTAAGTTATTATTGAGACACAACTTATTACAAGCTATCTTAAATAGCTTTAATTTACAACAATAATAATAACGTCAGAAATTAAATGTAAGTTAAAAGAATCTGGCACATTCTTCGTTGCGGTGTGCCGCTTGTAGCATGCTGTTACCTCAAAACCTCCAAAATTCTTGGGATAATCGTAACAATGTCTGAAAAAAATCTACTTACGATTTTGTATGTACGGTAATAATAATGAGGGAGAAAACGAATACATATACGTAAAATGCATATTTGCTACAACAGCACATCATAATCTGCTTCTCAGTCATTGTCTCGCACTGGCAAAAATTCTCGGTTAAAAATAAACAATTTACAAAAGAATAGAAATGATTATTTATTAAAAGACTAGCGTTGCAATCACGCCTGCAACCTAAAGATAGATTTACTGTTTGCCTAAAGATAGATTTACTCTTTGCGTCTTTATTCTCTTAGATGCCGAAAACAAATCATGATGTGATAAGTTCTTGCACTATAAAAAAAAGGTGCAAGGCTTGTATCATTGTTTTTTAATATTCTGTGCCAGAACAAACAAATGTCACAGAATATTTATTACGACTTAATCGATGTACTGGATTCACATTTATACAAAAGGTCAAGTTCTGGTGATTAAAAAATATTTGCAAACTAAAAATTCGCGCGAATCATGAGTATTGTTAAAGTTTTGGTACAAAATCAACAAACACTCATTGAAAAAAAAAGAAAAATTACTGTACAAAGTTATATTGAAATAACAAGTTCCTTTTTTTTTGTTTTGAGAAAATGTGCAAAGTAAACTTAAAGATAAAATTGTATTATTTACTTGAATATCTGTAAAATTTACTTATTAAGTTACTTCGATTTTATACTTCTTAGTATTTTAACATTGAGACAGCTGCCACGCTCGTTAAATTAGCTCAAACATGAGAGAGAAAAAGTTGAATTGTATTTCAATACACTTATCAGTAATCATGAGGTGTACAGTTGTAGCACTTACTTATAATGCGTCGTGCTCAAATTAGAGATAAAATTATTCTAAAACACTGCCGGAAATGATGTGTCTAAAATGGATTTTTTAACACTGGACGATCATTATTGTAAAATGATTGTACACAGAGACTGGTTGTCGATAATTTTAACAAAAAACAAAAAAAAATACGAATAAAGTTACGATGATGATAAAAAATCGTTCGCAAGTTTCTCAATAAATCATTCCTCAAGTTCAACTAACAAACTTTCGAGAGTTATTATGTAAAAAATTAAAATCGAACGATACAGGCTACATATGTATAGTTTTATGTTATTAGCTATGAATATTCAGTTATTTCTCTTATTATTTGCAATAAAATGTTATCTTTTATTCAGTTATTCATTCTCTTATGATCAATTTTTGTTTACTGTTCCTGTACACAATGTCCGACAACGCTAGTTTGACATATATAACATGTACTAATACATGTGCAAAAGATAGCCTGAACTATATATTAAAGATTACTCAGCTCGGTAGATCTTCCTATTATATGTATATTCCAAAGGAATGATTAAAAGAGAGCATGTACAAAGGATTCGTCGTTTAGTTTCAACATGTACATGAGATCAACGTGTACAGGAATATCCTCTACGTAGCTATATATAATAAAAATAAATTCGTGTTAATAAATAAATAACAAACATACATATTACAGAGTGTGATGTTTTTTTAGTGGAAGACTGTATTAAGGGTCGGTATATGAGAGACTTTTTTTTTGCTTTCGTCGTAAACTTTTAAAGCGAGGATCTCAAGGATACAGTCGAAACGGTCGGTATTAGCATGCGGAATTACGTTTTATGTACATTATCGCGTTATTAAATCACCAAATAGTGTCATTAGTAAATGATATCGCAAAAAACAAACGTTATTTTTTTTACAAATTACAGCTGTAAAGTGGCGATATTAATACACTAAAAAGTTTGTAAAACCTAAAAAAAAACAAACATATATATATATATATATAAAAGCCGTTACCAACAATAAATAGCAATAAATAAGTGTAAAACGTGGAATAAGTAGATTATGATATACAGACTAGAGTTTGATGATTTCGAAGAGAAAGTGAAGATGAGTGAATATTCTCTATGGATGTTTCTATGCTATGTATTTTCATCAGTAAAATTGTTTAAAAAAAAAAAAAATCAAAAAGAAAAATTTATGTACGAATCTTCCAATACCTATAACTGTATCCTTTATTATCCTCGAGCTGCAAGAACTTCCGTTAATGTAAGAGTGCTGGATGTAGCAACTTGTAATTCTCGGAATAAATAATTCGAGTTTTTCGATGATTTTCTGTTTCTCTGTGTCGCCAGAAATTCTTCCAATATATTGCATCGTAAATTTACAACGAGTATAACAACGTGTTGTTTGGTGTTTTCTGTTAACTTATCAATCAATCGGGAAGCTCAGCACTCTTGATCTCAAAACGGATCAGAATTTATAGACAAACAGTTGGGTGAAGAGAACGATTTAACGTATGAGGCAGGTAGCACAGATACGTTGAGGCCCGATGCAGTCATCGTGGCAAAAGGCACCACACTGCCGACATATTACCATGGCTCCTCGCATATTACATTCACACGGAGGTGGTGGATCGCCGCCAATTATCATCCCGGGTGCACCGGGTTCCGCACCGCCCGTTACTCTACTATCCGCGCCTCTCGCCTTCAAAGTGACGGCCTGGTGAGATCCTTCCCCAGCGCTCGCTGGTCTCCCTCGCACCAAATGGACCCCAACGCCCACTCCTGCGATCTGCGGTGGTAGTGGAGGAGCGGATGACGCTCTCGGTGCACCATCCCCAACTCCCGTTCTTTGTACAAGTATATATTGCCCAAGACCGTTGCTGGTTGTGGAACCAAGTTGCGCTATAGGAGTGTTTTCTGCAACCTACAACGTAAAGCGCATGTAATTAACAAAATATTGTCGCGAGTGATTTAATGCAACTTGAACTGATGCCTCAGGTTCAAGTTACTTTTGCCCGACAATAGAAATATGTTACACAAGTAATATTTCAGTAACGATATTTTATACAAGTTCATCTGATTGTGTAATATATTTGTTCACTGATTTTTCATGTACTTGTGTACATAAATCATTGCAGCAATTTATGTTTCGCAATTGTCGTTTCGTCTGACAATTAAATTCGCATCTATCTCTACTGCATGTAGAAAAAACCCAAAACTAATGTAAAGATTTGTTTATTTAGGTACCTGTATGATACAGAGATCATCACAAGCGACCCGCGAGATTAGCACTGTACACACAGAAAAGGATAAAATAGTATGCACGTACGGTCAAGTGTTTCGTATTTTATACAAGAAAAATGTTACAAGAAAAAAACTCGATTTTAAAATACACTTAAAAGCTATTTTTAACTAACACTTATTTTCTCGCAAAATTGACTTACTGAGATCTTGTAAGATTTTTTATTTCTAAATCCGTTGCGTAAAAATAACGGTATTTTATTTGCACATCTCTTACAGAAAAAAACTGTTAAAAATTCATACAAGAGAATGATGTTCTATAAATATACTTTACCCTTAATATACAAGTTACACTTGTCGCGTAAACGGCACTTAACGGTACAGTAAAAACATATAGTTTAGTAATATACATAACGTACCTCCGTTGACGTAGCTTGACGAGTTGTAGCGAATACGTGTCTCAGCATGACTGATTGCGTTTTATTTTGAGCTTGTTTATTTTGTATCGCTTGCTGCGTTTTCTGAGATTTGACTGTCGTCAAGGTACGCCCACCAGATTTACTAGTTGTGAATGCACCGTCTCCTCTGGCAAGCAAACTAGGCGGTGGTTTTAAATGAGCTTTCAATTGATCTCTATTTGGTGAACTTTGTATGACCTGAAATAATCCGTATATTTCTGTTTATCAATTAGAAATTGCACAATGCGAGAAATTTTAATGCCGTGTCAGTACTTTTTTTCTCTTTTTATCGAGTAAAAATTCATCGATGCACGTGTGTGTAAAGATTAAGTATTAATTAACTTACTGCTTGACATATCTGATAGCTGCGTTCGAGATTAACAGCACCCGGAGGCTCTTTTGTGGAGCTTCTCGACCGATTTCCTCCTTGTTCTTTGCCACTTCTGGAGCCTCTTTGGCTACCTTGATTGGATACACGTGAGGTTCGCGAGACAGTTACGGATGATCCGGCATATTGTTGTTGCTGTTGCTGCGCTTGTTGTTGTTGCTGCACAGCTGCTGCAATTTGTCGAGGTTGAGTAGAAGTTTGTTGTTGAATAACGATCGCGTTCTGCGCACGGTTTTGAGATTGCACTCCCATGGTGGTCGAGAGAGTATTTTGCACTTGACCCTGCGTCGCAATGGCGTTCTGATTCACGTTACCGCGCGCGCCATTGTTCTGAGTATTTATCTGAGCGATCGTGTCCTGCGGTCGTATCATGTTAACTTGCGCGGTGGTATTTTGCTGAGGCTGAAGTTGGGCAGAGATCGTAGACGAATTATTCGTCAGCGAGGACGTTTCTTGTTCTGGATTAAAACTGGTCTGCACGAATCTGATGGACTGCAATGGTGGAAACGTGATAATCGGCGGACTTTGCGATTGCAGATTCTTCATAACGCAACTGTTTCCTGGCGTGCTGATGGCTAAGCCATCCGATTGAAAAGTAGTTCCTTGAACAACCGGCAACTGAATACAGTTAACCGATTCGACATTGGTGTCTGTGTTAATAAATTGTTGCGATGAAGTCGTGGAGTCAGTCGTTGTCGAGGTTTCGCTGCATTCGTCTTGCGTTGTTACTGTAATGTTAGCTGCTACAGACCCATCGAGAGCAGCTGCCACCAAAGGCCAAGGTACTTGCAGCTCCTCTTGCGTCTTTGCAAAAACAGAAAAATCTAACTTAAATAATATTTCGATAACATCAGACTTTAAGATTTACATTCTTTGTAAATCAATTTCGTTATAATTTTTAAACACAGTTTTATGGCTTATTTATTTCTCTACTTCAGTCATATCAAATATATTGACAATCACTACAATAATTATTATATGGTGTACTTACCCTATTATTATTACTATTGATATTATTAACAGTCGGATCCACCGTCCAACTACATTCCATCATTTCGGAACAGACGTAATTATTCGCCTCTCGAAGAGCTTCATCCTCATTACTGGCATTTACATCTGTTCCTCTAGTATCTTCAGCTTGACCAGATACCACTTGCTGTTCCGTCACTTCTGCGTTGGTTGAAGCCATTTCCATACCCTCAAGAATAGGATATATTATTTCTTCCGGACATCCCGAAATCTCTTCATACATTTCACGCATTTCTCCTTGAACCTGAAATGTACAATGATTTATTTTGAATTGTAACGTTTGTAAACACGATCCGACCGAAAATTGAAAACAAGATTGAAAACATCCAGACGATAAATATTTTTATAAGTTTTTCAAATGTTTACAGTGATTTAATATTAACAAATTGTATCAATAATAACATGCTCCATCGTGCGTCTATTGTTAAAAAATTACAACAAAAAACCATCTTTACCTCAAGTTCATGAATACGTTGTAAAGTTTCGCTGTCAATTTCCATTCCTTCTGGAATTTGCGACTCGCTGTCCGCTGAATTCTCATGAGAGGTCTGTGTTGTTTCGACTTGATCGCTATTAATCAAACCGGTGTCCTCCATAACAATATCCGCAGGCCTAACCTGATCTTGCGGCGATGAATTTTCAAGAATGCTCGTAGTCTCGCAGTCGGATATTTGATAAATTTGATCAGTCGACATTTGCGAGATTTGTTCCTTCGAAATTTGAGGAATTTGTTCCATGGATGTTTGCGATATATAGTCGGCGGACAACTGCGAAATTGATTCTCCGGACGTGTGCGATCCGTGTTCTATCTGTTCGCTAGATCTCGGTGACGAATTATCGTCGGGCAGCAACACAGTGTCCTCTTCGGACGCTTCGATTACATTATTTTCTATAGGCTGCAGATTTTTCTCGTTGGAAAAATCTGTATCTTCCTCGTAAACATTCGAGATATTTTCCTGACAAATATCTTGTCTCGCAATGTCATTGCTCTCGGTTGTGTCTTGTTTCTCGCAAATATTCGCGAGTTTCTCCGTTTCTTCCGTTTTACTTTCATGCATTTGAATGTCTTCCGTCACCTCGACGGAACTCACCTGCATGGGATCGTCCAATTGTTTCTCATCAGTCAAATTGTCTGACAATACGTTATAATCCAAAGGCATTAGGTTCGGTTGCACCTCTTCAGGATTAGTCAAATCATCAGAACTTTTTATGCTGATTTCGGCTTTACAATTGGTATCGACCTTGTCTTCGGTCATCATAGGACAGACAGCATGTTCCACTGTAGGAATATCCGTGTTGGATTCTAAACGAAGTCTTAAACTTGAACGCGTTACCGCGCCGGTAGAACGCTCCGTAAAATAATGGAGGGCCGACTTAAGTTTAGGCTCTCGTTTTTCTCCCCATATCGGTTCGAAGTGTTTCACTTTCCACGGATCTAATTTATTTTTATCCCGTTCAGCCTCCATTTTCAAACGTTGCTGGTTTTCCGGTGTGAATTCTCCTTCTGCCAAACGTTTCCGCCATTCTAAACAAGCTCTCGCAAAAAATTCATTGTTCAATCCAGAAATAGCAGCGTCCTAAGAATAAGAATAACATAACGTTAAATTTTTTTGGACAAATAAAACTGCTTAAATAGTTTTTTTTCGTGATAAGATGTAGACACATTGTAAAAGATATTAGAAATCAGAAGAGAGATACCTGTCGATCTACAGCGGGCAGAAGTTGTGCGAGCTTCCGTTGATACAATGGAGGTAAACCTTGAAATGTATGCCTATTTAACAGAGAACGTAAGCTCGTACTTGCTAATATGCTCGCGGGAGATTCCAAATCCACAAGACCGGCTTCTAGTTGTGCGGTTGCTGACAGTCTCTTTGTGGATCGTCTACGACCTGACTTCAAGCTAAATCCAGGTAGACTAGCCAAAACTTCTCTCATTGTGGCAGCTGGTTCTTCCACTGCTGTACATACAAAACAAAATACAGAATTTGAAAATTAAAAAACAAAAAAAAATGCTTTTTAAAACTTTATTTCTAAAAGAGAATCAAATAAAGCTCATAAGATTAAAGTATTTTTCATATATGTGTCTAAATTTGATTGCGCTGCTTTAACAGAGATGTTAGCTTTCTGTCTGATGACGTAAAGAAGCGACGGGAGAAATTGTAACAGAAGACTGTTGTTGGCAATCGTGGCCTAACTACCAGTTGGAAAACAATCAAAAATCAAAAGTGTATCAAGAAAAGTTGACCCAACTGTCAAATCTCACTGAACATGTGATTAACGTAACGAAAAGATACGCAAGTTGGATTAATGGATTTAAAAATTACCAGCGTTAATGTGCTGCGTGTTATTAACCGGAGACGGCGGATCGTCAGGCGGAGGTGGTGGAAGCGGTTTCACCACGATTCTGGGCAACGTGCGCGAATTGCCCGACGCTATTGTTGTGTTCTTTCTGCGCCGCTTGGCCTGCTGTCGTAGCGCGTGTTTAATTACTTTCTTGCTGTGCACCATGCTAGAGTAACCAGAGCAGCCCGCAATATTTTCACACCCTTCACTTTTGCCGATCTCTACATCTGTGTCCATGACAGTACCTGCGACTTTGGCATCGTCAGCGGACGAAACGTCGGGAAACGACGCGGCGGTTGTGTGCGCCTGTCGCGGCATCGCTTGTTAAACCGTGCACCGACGTCGCCGTCGTTGGTCGCATCCCATTTTTTTTTTCTCGCACACCCACGACACACGCACACCCGCGTACTACTCGACGCTCGACGTATTCGACGGGAGTTGTTCGCGAGATAATGCAAGATGCTGCGTCCTCTCAGCCGAGATATAAACATAACATTCCCCGTGCTCGCTCTCTCTTTCTCTCACTGGTGGCGCAGCGAAGAGACATTTCCTCCCCGCCGAAGCCGCCGGATACGTCGAGGATGCGATCGCAAAAGAGCTCGGTAGTGTGCTGTTTACATTGTCACAAAGGGAGACACGACTGAACACGCGGGATTACGGCGGAACGGCGGTATGTTACACAACTCTCTCATTCGCAGCCGTCCGCAAAAGACCGTCGTCCGGAAAGGCAAGGAATCCTCTCGCTTCTTTCGGCCATACTGTATTTACATATTTATACCGCGGAGTCAGTCGTCGACGTAGACGCGCGCCACTTGTGTTTCCGGCACGGATGTCGTTTTAACGTCGGTCGAGTGTTTCGAGAGAGCGCGCGAGTAAAACTTTTTTAATAAAAAAAAAAAAATTTACATTTTTATAACTTTTGAAATTTTGTTATTCTAATTTTACGGCAAAAGGTCTCTAAAGTGTTTGTGTGCAAAATTTTATTCATTTCCTATGATTATTGCGAGAGTACTATGACCAGTTTTTTCGCTGAAAGTTTAAGCGAGAAAGTCGGCCGCTACGGGCTAAAATTTCAAATGTGTCACCAGGATCACAGAAAGTGGCAAGAGCTTTTTTTTTTTATCAGGGGAGTAGGTGGAAGAGATGATAACTTGACTCAGTCGATATAACTTACCAGCAGTAGGAAAATATATAAGTTGAAGAAAGTGGCGCTAGATGTCGGCCATTGTCGATAAATTCCAGCGGACAAATTCAAATCTAGCACCAGGATCACAGAAAGCGACAAGAGCTTCGCTACCAGGGCAATAGAGGGAAGAGATGAACCGAATCGGCGGACAACTTCACGGTATTGGAGTACTATAAGTTGAGGTAAGTGGCGTCATATTTTAGGCCTGGTTTATGCGGGCCTAAGATTTTAATATTTCTGTTTATTAACAGAAGCATAACAGAATGTAACAGAAGCATTGAAATCCTATAATTGAACTGTACCAATTCCGGCATAAATTAACAGTTATTACCCGCATAAACAAGGCCAAAACAAGGCCTTATTTGCCCGCATAAACCAGGCCTTACAAGAAGACGGAACGACGCAACTTTTAACTCTTATTAGCAGGAATGTAGAATGTGACAAGAGGTTTACAGAGAGAGGAGGTTCTCTCGTAAGTGGTTCTGATCTTTGCTAAAAATTATATTTCGATTTAACAAACATTCAAAAATCAAAAACTGGAAATAATTAAGCTAGTTCGGATTGACAGGTCTCAGAGGCATCTTTCTGGCGGTAACCATGATGTAAGAGGACAATGAATTCCGCGCTATAGTTGAGCCAACAATTTGGTTGATTTGGTTGCGCCATCAGCGCCGATCTATCATTTCGTCTTTAGGATCATCGCGCAGCAAAATCGCGCAACAGCACGTGCGTAAATCGTCTCGACCAACGAGCGTGTAGCATAATTTTGTCGTGTAAATGCCTGGTACCGCCTTCACTTTTCTCGTTGGCGATCACCGCGATATTGCCGCTCGCGAGTACGAACTTACTCAACAATTCCGGGAACACAGCTGTGCGAAACTGGTTCTTCCAATCGGTTAATACGTGTCCATGATCGACGACGTCGGGAGTTTACGGTGGTTCACGAACAGCTCGCGCAGCCTTGACACGAAAGTTTCAATTGAACACTCGTTGTTAATTTAGACATGTTGATGGGAAATTGCCGATGATTAGGTGAAGGAAAAAAAAAATAGAAAATACTCAGTCGCCAAAGGGAACAAGATAACTAAATTGATAGCGAAACCGATGGGTTTGGCCTGTATAAACATTACACACAAATGTACTCACGAGTGCGCTTTACTCGGGTTGGAGTTTGCAGACCGTTATTAATTCGATGCGAAAGCAAGAGGGTAATTTTTCTTCTCGGAGACACAAGATATAATATCTCCAAACTAGTCTGAGATTGTTAGAAAAACTTTGTGAAAGATATATATATATATATGTGTGTGTATATATATATATATATATATTATATATATATATATATATATATATATATATGTATTAATAGTTTTAATAACAGATTTATAATTCTAGGTATTGGAGTATTCTCTTATCTAACCATGATACCTTGTATGATAAGGTCTGTGATATGAAGTGTAAAATGACTTGTTGTGACTCATTTTAAGACAGAAAGTCAGAAACAATGTAAAGTGATATAAGAAATATCAATATAGTTTATTTAGCTGCAAAGAAAATCATATAATTAAAGTGCAACAATGGGATCCATTGCTTTGGAAGAGTACGAGCTGATGAAAGACTCAAAGTACCGAGTGTAAGTACAATATGGAGCACTTAATTTACTCCATTTTGCATATAATGAGTAAATTCTTGTTTGTTTATTTGAATTGTGATCTTAAATATGTTTATGTGTTTCAAGTTGTTTAATTTATATTTTTATTTCACTTCAATACATGTAATATGTATACTCTTTTTATAGCTATGTGTCTGCTGTGGATAAAGCTCTAAAGAGCTTTGAGTATACAAGTGAATGGGCAGATCTAATTTCTGCATTAGGAAAACTTAACAAAGTATTACTAAGTCATATGAAATTTCCTGTTATTCCAAGGAGAATTAAAATATCAAAGAGACTAGCCCAATGTATGCATCCGGCATTACCTTCTGGTGTTCATTTGAAAGCTTTAGAGACATATGACATTATTTTTAAATGTATGGGTACCAATAGGTTGAGTCATGAGCTTTTTATCTATAGTGCAGGTAATTGACATATGTTAACAAAACAAAATTATTGGTAACAAGTAGTTTTAACACATATTTTCAATATGTATTTCTATTGATTAGGCCTTTTCCCATTATTGGGTCATGCTGCTATGAATGTGAGACCATCATTATTAACAGTATATGAGACACATTTTGTGCCTCTTGGTGAAAGATTGAGACCAGGATTGAGTGGTTTTTTAAGCGGTGTTCTTTTAGGATTAGAAGATGGATCTGATCATTTTGACAGGTGCATAATAATGTATTAAATTACTCTTAAGAATTTTTTTTAGATACTAATTATGTAGCAGTAGTGAATAATACACGGATCATCCTGATAGATGTGTTTTTATAATGTAAAAACTTTTATTATTAATGTTGTTTCAACAGAACTAATTCTTTACTGGAAAAAGTATGTGATGGTGTTGGTGCTGAACACTTTTACGCATGTCTTTGGGACTGTTTAGCTTCAAATTCCGTTATCCGATTGCCTGCTATATCATTTGTATTGGTACATTTCAACAAAAAATTGTCAATGGAAGAGCAAAACTATATTATGGGTACTAATACTAAAATCATGGTAAAGTAAATTCTTATTTGATCAGATACAATTTTGAACATTAAATCGAGGTTTTAATTCGCAATAATTTTCGAAAAGGTTTCAGCCTTATGCGCTGGAGTGCAAGATACTTCGGTGTTAGTGCAAAGAAGTGCACTTGATTTTTTACTAATAGGTTTTCCTATACATAACAGTCAATTGACGCACGAAGATATGATACTGTTGATCAGAGCTGCTTTGGTTACTATATTGCGGAGAGACATGAGTTTAAACAGGTAACAAAAGATAATGTATACAAATATGTATAGTTAAAAAAAAAAAAAATAGGTTTTTTTATGTTTCACATGTATTTTCATGCAATTGTAGACGTTTATTCGCCTGGCTATTGGGTACTGAAGTGAGCACGTCAATTTTAAAGAAAAAGAATCACGCGACAGACACTAAGGAGAATTCCGTAACATATTTTGATCTATATTCAAAAGAAATGCTAGTTGAAGCAATAAAATACTTACTCAAAGAAGTTTGCGAGGAAAATTCACAAGATCTGAAGCCGTATAGGATACTTGTTTCGTTGCTTGATAAAGTAGATATTGGACCAGTAATTTTGGACGATATTCTATTTGAAGTGTTTAGGTAACTGGCATTTATAGAGAAAGCATATCAAAGTCAGTTTTCAATATTTTAAAAAAATTCTATATTGTTTTCTCCAGGACATTTTACAATGCCTGCAAACAGTGCGCGCCAAATCACACTCTAAAAACGAATGAGGTAGTGAAATCTGCGAATCTCTTGTTTTCGACCTTAGAACCGTCGTACATCTGGATACATTGCGGCCATTTGTTCGAGAAGGCCTGCAATGTCAGATCGAAGACCCAAGTTGCGATAGAAGATATTACCGTAAGACCGGTCGGCAGCGGAATGCCAAATTTGGTGGAAGTGTGCATACTAACGGAATTCTTACTGGAGACCGTATCGTTAGATGCGTTTATAGACACGCCATCTGAACACCTTCCTGGTTTATTCTACGAAATAATCAGCAAACTTTTGCATCACATTAGCATCCTGTCCTCGATGGAGATCTCGAAGAGTCTGAAATTGTGCGCTAAAATACTGTCAAAGGTGCAACCGTCGATGATAACTACTCATAACGATAAAAGCGAGGTGGACGTGAAAGCAGACGCATCTTTAAACACCATTACAGTTCCTAGCGATAATTCTCTGACAACAATCCCATTGGAAAAGAGTCAGTCGGATAGTAAATTGAATAAACCCGACACGTCGAGTAGTTCGTTAGCGGAAAAAAGTCCAACTACGAGAAGAAGAGCCAATTCCGGTGGTGCCACCAAAAGAAGCGAGAAGAAGTCGAAGAAGAAGGGAAGTAAGAGCAAATTAACAGACACTTATACAATACAAGCTGACGGCAGTAATATATCGGTCGTAGTGAACGAAGATACGAAACCTTTGCCGCGAAACAAAAGCATGGACGATATCAAAGCAAGTTGTAACGATACCGATGGAATGAACTCGTCGTCAAACAGTCAGCTGTTGAAGTGTTTCACCAATGTTAATCCAATGGGATCGACGGGATCTTTAAGTAGGGGACCATCTCCGGCGTTTCAGGCGCAGCATTCCATGTTGGAAAAATGTCTTCGTCAGTACGAAATATTTTACGTTAAGTTAATTAGCAATCGAATACTTAGCAAGGAGAGAACGGTGCAAGACATGTTCGACTACTTAATGGTGTCTTGCCCAAGAAAGAGCTTCGAGGACACGATGCGTGGGTTGGAATCTTTGTTGACTTCCAGATTAAACAAAACGGAAGATTCTGGATTCTTTAGTCAAGATACATCCGCAAGCGAGGATACCAAGTGCCTGGATATTTTCCATTTGTTTCTCGACATCGCGGCGCATTCGGATTGGAACGAGGCGATGAAGATCGCGTCCAGTTTGTTCGTCGAATTGTCCACGTTTCCAAAATACTTTTTCCCCGGTGACGACGTGCTCGTGGAGGAAGAGCCGAAATTCGAGCAGGTTCTCCCGGAATGGTTGAAAGTTCTGGTAGTTTGTTCTTGCTGGTTGCAAAAACAACCGACATTGCAATTAATCAGCATCGCTACGTTACTAGACTTGATAGCGTTGCTGAAAGCACACAATGATGTCGAGACACATCCGAAGAGCGGAGAAGGCGTAACGACCGTGATCATAGTGCCTTTGTTGAAACAGTGGCACGTAACTTACTTGATGCAGTATACTAATGTATTTCAGGTAATGTATTTGCAAAACACACTTTTTCAGCATATAATTTAGTAGAATGTTAAAACAAAAGATAAATTTATTTTTACGGGTAAAGGTACTGGCACATTCTCTGTGGCATCATTTGGGTGAGCTTCCGGCGCACAAGTTCAGAATGCGTTGCGTAGAACTGTTGCACGAACTACATCACGCTTTGTACAATTCCTGTAACGCGGTTGAGAATCTAATTGGATCCGAGCTTACTTCTGAGAATCCGGAAAAGAGAATTGAGGCGTTTGGTAGATTTGCTACTTTGTGGCATTTAGGACGTGAGATCGAAATGAATCCGAGATTGCGTGGCTGCCTTCGAACTTTTGACCAGTAAGTAGATCGTTTTTGATTTAGAACTTCATGATCGACATTAAGAATGTTTTAAAGTATTGTTTCTACATCCGTTGTTGTGTGTGTGTGCGCGCAGATCTTTGTTGAAAATATTAGATAATCTTCAACTTGTGGACAACTCGCCACTGAAGCTGCAGGCGCAATCGTGGCTGTTGCACTCGTTGATGCGCGGCGACATATCGCGCGTAATAGATCCCTTGTTGACAATACTTTTGGATCCATCCACGTGCCGCATGAGTGTTCTTCACGTGAGTATACAGCACAGCAATACCGTCCTAACGAAAAACAATCCTGTGGAAGAGAAGTCCGAGATACAAGACGACACGGAGGGAACCGCGAAGATTTACGCGATCAGTTCGGTCGACGGCAACGTGATATATCATGTGAGCGACAATGTGGACGAAGATAAAAAATGGAAGAAAGGCAAGAAGAAGAAGCAAGCGATAAATCCTGTGAAGATAAAACGAATCTTCGCCGTGACAACGTTGGCGACCGGTGATAACTGCAATCATTACGTCACGGAAAAGAATCAATTTATGAAAGAACTCGAAGTGCCGCCCAGTATATCCGGCAATAGAAAGATTTCGGTGTTCGTGAATCCCCTCTCGATTAACTGCCCCGAAAACTCGAACGATTCGTTAACGGAAGACGACTCGTTGCCCAGCATGCGAAAGACCAACTTAACGACCGAATTGTTGAAAAATGCCACCCGCTTCAAGAAAATAGATTTCGACAAAGGTTCTACTGCCAGTTTAGACGAGAGTCTCTTCGAATCAGCTAATAGCTCCAGTCTGAAGGCAAAAGACAAGAGCAGTTTCAAGAAACTGACCGACGACGTTGATTCTTCTTTAGATTCTATAACGAACAGTTTGGACTCGAGCAGTCCCGAAGTGACTAACAAGCAATCAAAGCCGAAGAAAGAGCCCGTCTTAATGGCAGGCAGTGCCAGAGAAGTGGCGGGCACTATTATAAAAGGTAGATATTTTAACACGAACGAATTCAGCACGAACTACGATCATGAAATAGGCAGTTTTGAAGCGAGCGCGGAAGTGCCCAGTTGGACAATGGACGATGACGAAGGCGATCTCGACGTGAGCACAACCGCGGAAGAATACTTCAGCAACTCCAGCACCAGCGTGGTCGAAGAGATTCTAAACGAGATACTCGATCGCGCGATGCAGTTGTGCGATGTCGCCGAGCCACCAAAGAGTGTAAGTAAAAAAACTATAGAAATTAGAGTTGGTTTGTATACGAAATGATAAAAATTACAAATGTTCTGTGTTTTGATTGCAGGAAGAGACTTCACAGCAGAACACGAAAGCTGATCGAAACGTTGGGCTTGGCGTTCACAATCTTCATTCTCACATGTTGCTCTACTGCGGTGTGTACGATTCCGCAAGAACCCTATACGCTCTGTGCACGCTCAGGAACGAACTCTTAACAAATATGCGAATGTTCTTGTGTTGCGCGGCGACAACCGGCGTAACGAACGCGACAAAGAACACAGCGTTGTTAAATCTATTGGCGAGGCACAGGAAAAGCGTTTTCGGTAGAAATTTCCACGGCGACATAGCCAATACGGAATTCATAGCGGCTTACAGAAGCAGCATGTATCTGGAAGTGCTCATAAGCGTGTGTTTGTACTTCGCGAGGAGCTACTATCCAAATCTCGGACAGATGAGACTTACGTACGAAGAAATTGCGGGCAATCGTCAGGTACGTGTAATTTGACATTGAAAAAAAGTCAGAAACAATTTTCTCCTCTATGTTACACAAATACAAAACTATTTGTGTTCGCACAGGTACAACTTGCGAGTGCGGAATTATTGACGCTAATATTCTCTGAGTTAATCCCGATAGTACGCGATTCCGGTAAAGGTTTCAGCTGCTACATAGTCGATTTGTTGACAAAATGTAAAGTACAAAAGGTCGCTCTACACTGTCTCGTATCCAGCGTGATGAGTATGAAAAACGCCCACAAGGAAAATCAGGACGTTTCCACGTTTACTGAAGAGATCGTGTTGTTCAACGATCCGTTTGTGGATAATGATGTCAATAAATGTAAATATAGAGCAAGCGATCACACGGAAGCTTTCCAAATACAATTATTACGGTAAACATTTGAACAAAAATGTCATATCTGTTAAAAATTGTGCATTACAATTAATTTTCATTGCACAACTGATGTAATGTAATGATTTGTTATTTTTCAAGGTTGTTACTAGCGTTGATTATGTTGGAGCATCAGTGTAGTAGTCAGAAGGGAGAGGAGGTTAATCCGACAACGTCGTTCATCCCAAGTTCGCCGACGCGGAATTCGTCAAATTTAATTGGAAACAGTTTGAAATATCTGCCCGGGGTCGCGATACCTCAGCAACCGATGTTTCTTGCTAGTATTCTTACCGCTCTGCAACTTGTACGTAATTTTCCTAATTCATCTCAATATGTACATTACAACATAAGATATTTTTATGAACAAATAAAAATTTCTGTAGGATCATATGAGACACCTTCATCAACACTGGACGACGCTTGTTACATCCAGTTTGCCTTTCATGGGTTTATCTCTGACATCTGTTGTAACCTCGGTCATTCATCAACTATGCAACAACATTGAACACCTGGCATCGTATTACATAAGCGAAGAGGCGATACTGACATCGAAATTACAAGATATAAGCACCGTGGAGTGTTGTTTGCCTGCGGATTACACAGTGACGCATTTGGAGGCTTTGACGTATTTGCTGCACTATTGTCTGTTGGATACTTCGCAGCAGGTTGGATTCTCGTTCAACCAACCGCTAAGCGGCACAATACAGACGGGAATTCCCGGCGCTAATCCCGGACAGATATTCAACAACCTTATACACGTTTTTATGCCCAGTCCACTTTCTCCTGTTAGTTGAAAATAAAATATAATGTTGAGTTATCGCGCAATTTTCGCAATTTAGACAAAATAGATAAATTTGCACTTTGTTCAGGATTTGTCCACAACGAAGGATAAAACTGGCGCGACTGAGTTGCAACAACATGCAAGAAGAACAGCGTTGAGCCATTTGCCGAGAATAATAGCATCCTTGTCCGCTTTGTGGCAAGCGGTTTTAGCAACAAAAGACAAGTGTGTACTTCAATTAGAATAATATAGAACATATATATCATCATATTTCTATGTAAAACTTTATTGTCATGCGTAGTGAACAAGCGAGCTGTGTGGTAGGTAGTCCGAGAATAGTCAAGTACCAATTGCTGGAACTCTTGTCTCCCATCTCCTTCCATCATGGAGCCAACTTTTTGGCCGCGGTTGCTGTCGCGTGGCACGAGAGACGCCAATCGTCCGCTGCATCGAAAAAGGTAATTTTACACTTTTTTGAAATAATTATTCAAAACAGAATAAAAATATAAACAAGATATCAATTGGGAGAAAGTTTCGAGTTGTAATGTGTTTTGTTGCAGATACTTCCAGAAGCCTGTCCCAATCAGCAAGTGATGGTTCATCTGGTTAGCGCGATCCGTGTTATGCCAATTGACACCTTGGTACACACCGTTCATCAAGTAGTGAAAACCCCGCCGCCGATACACGGGATTAAGCAAGATTTCTCTCTGGAAGTCTCGGTGCTGGAATTGCTTTACGTGTACATGCAAAGCAACACGTCGCAATCGCTCATCGAGTCGTGGGCGTCGCTGCTTAGTTTATTAAAGGACGGTCTGTCGTTAACGGCGCCTGCTCAGTTTCTTTTATTAGCTATACTAAACGAGTACGTACAGAAATGTCCACCGATGCAAGAGAAAAAAGATATCAAAGATTTACAGGACGTATCTGCAAAAGTAATTATTTTTTATTTTAAAAATGTTAATTAAACACTGTGTGATTTACACTAAATATTCTCGAACGTTTTAGTTGATCGAATCATGTTCGCAAATAGCTGGCGCGTGTTTAGAACAAACTACATGGCTAAGAAGAAATCTAGCCGTTCGAGAAGACGCCTTTGAAGTGGCAGAAGGTTCTTCGGAAGGTAAAGAGGGCAAAAATGGTGCTGGTGCGTAATGTGCATTTTATTTTGTAGATATAATCAATGAATTTTTATAATATAATAGCAAATTATCTGCATACTCTATTTCTGTTGCCGCGCTTTGTCTTTTCTCTTCGTTGCAATCTGGCAATTGCGAATAACTTCAAACTTTTTCTTACGATGTACTTGCGCGACTGTCAATGAATGTTTTACTTTGCAGTAACACCCGGAACTCCACCTAACGCCGCGTACAGTGTTCAAGCGCAAGCGGTATTGGCAGAAATATTAGCGCCGTTGCTAGACGTCAGTTACGGTTCGCAAGAAAAAGAGCGCGTAGTGACGCTCCTCACGAATCTCATGTACAACGTTACACCTTATCTGAAGAATCATACGTAAGTGTAAAAAGTTGAATCGCGTGGATAGAAAAACTTTATTTCTTTGAATTTTATAATTGCACATCTGTTTTATCTAATTTTACAGAATAAAAAATATCGCATCATTCACCGCTTGTTCTCAACTGTTGGCTTCCTTGTCTGGATATCAATACACGAGAAAAGCATGGCGCAAGGACGTTTTGGACTTGTTGCTCGATTCTGCCTTCTTCCAGATGACACCGGCGTGTCTGCCATATTGGCGAACCATAATAGATAATCTGATGACGCACGATAACACCACCTTCAGAGATTTGATGAGTATGTGATTCGTTTGCTTATTACATCGCAACGCAAAATTGCCGAACTGACATTTCTCGATTGTTCCGTCAAACAGATCGCGTTTCCATGGCTCAGGGCAGCGGAATCAGTATATTCTCCTCAAAGGAACAGGAGTACGAACAGAAGGCGCAACTTCTGAAGCGGTTGGCATTTGTCATTCTTTGCAGCGAGACGGATCAGTATCACAAATACATGCCAGAAATACAAGGTACGATCACTCTCATAGAAAATATCTATACACAGAAAGTTATTACAGTATGGTGTGTGTATACACTGGTTTTTATATTTTACTTTCAGAACGTTTAGCAGATAGTTTACGCCTACCCCAAGTAATCCCGTCCATCCAGGCGCAAGTGTTTCTATGCTTTCGCGTATTGCTATTGAGAATGTCGCCGCAACACGCGACGTCCTTATGGCCGGTCATAGTTAGCGAGCTTGTTCAAGTTTTTCTCTACATTGAGCAAGAACTGAACACAGACAGCGAAGAGTTCAGGTATGCGAATTCTTCTGATCCTCTTGCGCGCTTCAAACGAACATTGAGCAAACTCGCTTTATGGGACGCTGTTGCTTCGTATGTGCATGGTACATGTTGGTTTACAATACGCGATTATTTTATTTGAAGTATCGAGATTGTTTTTTCAAAGAGTAGGTTGTGAAGCAAGAAGAGTTCTATCGGCTCTTGTTACACTTCTAGTAAACTGGCATGAATAGTAGCGTTTTGCATCAATTTTAAACGTGATAATAAAGTTAAATAATAAAGTTTTGCATCAATTTCAAACGTAATGATAAAGTTAACTTAATAAAGTTTTCAAAAAATACGTTTGAAAAATGTAACGTAGAATAGAGACGAGAGAGAGAGAGAGAGAAATGCGACTGAATTTTTCTCGTGATTGAGAATGTTTAAGTTAGCGAAATATTTGTTTATATTGTATATGTCCCTTACTAACACCGGATACTACCTAATATCGTACTGTTTTTGGCTCTGTTTCGGCATCTTCGCGATTTGATGGGATTTGTGGTGCCTCCGTTATTTGAATGGTGTTGGGACGACAGTCGTCATAGCAGGTAATTTAAAGGTCTAATGCATATTTGACATTACGCACGTGTATACGTATCTTATTTATCATACATATATATGTGTGAAGACACTCGAGTGTACATGGTGATGTAAAAAAATTGTCTTACATCACTGCTCGAATACATATATTAGAGGGTAATATAACTATATCAGCAGTGCTCTTATTAATCAAGCTCTGTGGGTAAATCGTATTATCTGGGGACAAGTTCATTGTGCTTCTTAAATTTTTCATGCTTTGTTCGTCCGTAAGTTGCTGATCTAACCGATCATCTGCTACAAATATCATTTGTACACACGTACGCAGCTCACACATCAAACTGTTGTCGGCTCTGGATTCGTCGTGGGCTGTCAACGCGAGCAACGGACTTCAAGCGCATGGGCATCCACACTGGTTACAATTACAACTGGCCGCAGCCAAGCTGTTAGATCTCGCGTTGTTATTGCCTGCGCACAGATTGCCGCAATTTCAGATGTGAGTAGCGATTGGAATTTTTTGTGTGGAAAGTTTGAAAAATTGCGTAAATGGAATAATTGATTGTGTTTTTTTCTTTAGGTACAAGTGGGCGTTCGTCGGAGACGCGGCGGCGGGATGTATAGACAACAATAATTTATCCTCGGACTTTGTGCCACACATTACAAGAATAGCGAAATTAATGGACAGCAAGGTAATGCAACACTTGCACGATTAAAAATGTATCACATAAATTTTTTTAATATTTCGTATCGATTATGTGATTGATTTACTCTCTTACGTCGTAAAAGAAGTAACTTAACGAACATCAGAAGCGACTTATATTCGATACTCGTAATCATTATCCGCTGAACAATGCTCGGGTAACAGACATCTCTGCGTCTTCTCGTCGAAAACGTATTCCTCTCTGCACTCGCATCCACTTTTGCACGGCGCGTAACAGTCCACTACGTCTGGCTTTGTGCAGGTAAACTGACAGAGACAATGTGTCCAGATGGACTTGTCGTCGCATTCGTGAGAACTTCGCATGTAATCGAACTCGTCGTAGTCGTATCCGGGAATTCGGTGCTTAGTATATCGATAAATCTTCTCGGACGATTTGAACCAATTAAACCGCTTGTTCGACGGATCTCTTCTCTGATAGGACTTCACACCACGTTCCAACGAAATGGGATAGTCATTTGAACTGAGATACGAGTCGTGCTGATTTTCTTTGTTGTCGAGAGCTTCCACAACATAATAATTGTTTTGCCTGGTATATCCTAACTTAGCCGAATAATCCGTTGATAGATCTTCGTAAAAATCAAAATCGTACTCGGAATCGCCCTTGTACTCTAAAATTAATTCGATCAATTTGTTAAAGAAAAGTTTCTGTCAGCCATGTTTTCATTAATATGATTTGATTAATATCAATCAGCTTAGATTGAACTTTTGTTTAAAGTATTAAAAAAAAAAAACTGCAACAATTGATATTTGTTTATTACTTACGTGATGTGGCAACTATCGCGATGCACATAATGTAGCAAGATAAAATTTTCAACCAAGTCATTATTGCGATCACTTCCGCACGAACTGTCAATTAACTCTCTGCGCGTACTATTAAGATTCTCTAATGCAGACTCTTACTTATCACGACCCTACTCTCTTGTATGTTCTATTTGAATTAGTTCGTTGCCGCGTGTTGCATTGTGTTACACAAAATTCTATATTTAAACAAATCTTAAGTTTGAATTCTTTTTACTTCGACATTTCGTCTCGATACATTTTAAATAATTATTATCTTTCCGAGAAATATAGTTTTTTTTAAATATGTATTTCGATTTTAATATGTATTTCGTATAGTTTTTTTTTATCTCGGTTGTCACAACTAAAAGATGTGGAATATTGTCATATAACAATGACATTAACGGGAACTCGTGTGTTCACACACCGTTAGTGACTGAAATATTTATTTTAGTACCGAGAAGAGAATCTCGAATATATTTTTGTTTTTGCAACTAAGCCAATAAAGAAGCACGCCGGTCGCTCGAGTCGGTGTGTTACACAATAACGTTTGGCGCTGTAAATACAAATACAAAATTTTCCCTTTGTCGCATGTCGTTCTTCTTTATTACGATCTTTTCATATCTCTTATCACGTCACTTATTATGGTACGGAATATATTGCAAAATTAGAATTGAAATAAAGACAGGACAAGAGAGAGATGTGAAAACTATTGTGCTCTATAAGATTCGATTGTTTTGCTGTTTACAGTTTAAATCGGAAGGTCCACCGCCGAAAAGGAATCCAGGAGAGCTTTTGTTAACGTCGAACAATGTTCGGTCTTTGCAAGACTTGCATCATTTTTTCTCGAGTCTCAGTCGCGCCTTGTGCGACACGCACGTGCTGATAAATAACACGCAATTGGAAACCGTAATTGAGCAGGATTTTCTTGAGAAAATGCCGTCTGTGCCAGCGAGATAATAGGGATGCGTGAGAGAAGGTACATATATACATATATATATATATGCATATATAACACCTCTGCACACGTCACAGGAAACATAAGAGACAACATTGTTAAGACACTTTGTCGCTTTAATATATTTATAAAAATATTATAATGTACCTCAGATTCGTATTCTGATTATATTGTTATAGTAGAGAAGTACTATGTATAAATGTAGCAAAAGTTAGAAATGCCCACGTAACACGCGTCAACACACATCTCTTGGCTACTGCTGTTAAGATGTAGACGTTCAAATCAAATGTTTGTTTTAAAGAAAAGATAGAAGATTTATATCTCCGTACTGATTAAGGGCCATCTCGAAGTAACGAGAAGTATATAGCGTGAGGTCGAGACGCTCTTTACATATTTTTGAACAAATTTTGGATCCTGCAAGAGTGAAAAAAAATCAACATGTGAATTAAGAACGTGTTAACTTGTTTGTAACGAATGTAAATGAAGCGAGAAGTTTTTTTTTTATAGTTAGAAAGTACCAGAAAAATAAATCTGGATCGTTTAGAATAATTCGCGATTTTGTTTTTTGTTATTGGGTTTTGTGTTTTTTTTTTATTGATTCACCTTTCGACTTGTCTCCTCATTCGGTTGTGAATAGTTACGAACATGTATAATATATATATATAGCAAACTGAACTCGCGCGTCAGCCTGCTACTGTAAATTATGTATAGAACGTGTACAGTGTAACATATAATTTATGTAACAAGGTCTTCCCAACAATTTTTTAACATACACTAATGTGTTTTTCTTTGACAGTATCCATTAATTTTTTTTTATCTGTTTTGCACGTTATCTTTAACTTAAACACACACATCGGAAAATTCTCTGTATTGTACATTTCTGACTTTCCTAACAATATACAGGCTTATATATATATGTACGTATCTGATAAGTAGTCAATATAATAGAGAAAAGAAAGGAGACAAAAGTTCAAATAATGTTTTATGTGCAATATAAAAATTATACGATATCTATGTTGACATTTTCAATTATGCTAATTTTCACATGAAATTTCACAATAACAGCCAAAATAAGAACTGTTGTATGCAAATATGTTGCTTTTGACTACGTAATTGCAAAATTGTGTGATTCCGCTTGGTAACGGAATTACGCTTGGCGCAAAAATTATTTGCATCAATCAGAACACGTGTTTGGAATTGACGAAACTTCATGAGAAATATCACTCATATTATTTATCTCATAATATAAAGCTATCGTGTTAGTGTAAAATTTCATATTAAAACACAAGTGTATCTATGTGAGAACCAATAACTTAATTACAAACAAACAGTAACGCATTCTTCATATTCTTATAGAACACGCTTGAAATAAGATGTTATATTTTTACGAGATAACTATAGTTTGATATGTATACAAGAAGGTTAATGCCTCTCAAGAATATCTACCTAATCAGTACGATTATATCTTATTACAAGCTCCTGCACGCAGATAGCAAGTGAGAATATTGAGAAACATTAGGATTTTTGGAAAATAACAGAAATGTTATCAAGATTTGCTCAATACGAGTCTAAAAATTGTACTAGACGTACGCGTTATAAGAGAGACGCCGATATTGTCATTAACATTCAAATGAGCTTCAATCTTTTAAATGCAAAATAAATGTTTTCTTCAATTTTTTTGATAAACAATAATAACAGAATTACATGGTAGATATTCTTCGACAAGTAATTAGTGATATATATGTACCTACGTATAACATACACGTACACTGACTGGTGCTAAATCCTTCGGCAAGAGGATAAAATTCTTTTTTTTTTTTTTAAATGACATTCACATCTGTTGATGACTGAAATGATGAGCAAAAAGAGAGAAATTTCTTTCTCTTGCATAGAACAATTTCGAACTAGTTAGTGTACTTAACATTAAAAAAAAAAACAAAAACTAACAAAGGCTTATATACGGCAGATTTATTTTTTTACACATAAATACTTTATTTTCAAAATACAAAACAAGGCGACATGTGTAATATGCAACAAATGAAAGGTGTCAAATTATTAGACATTTGTATTTAATAAATTATTATTTTATGTAATAAATTTTTTGTTTTTTTTTTGTTTATATTGCTACGTGAGGTTAAATAAATAATGTTAAAAAAAAGAACACGTTTTTATACACAGCAGTTTTTGGAAAATTACTGCTTGGCACTAAAGTGTAGTTAGTAAACGACGAAGTTTATTTTACTGCTTAGGCAGAAGTTTTTTTTAGGCAAAGATCTGTTGTTTATTGCATGTAATAAGGAAGAGATAAATTTATAATCTAGATATAATTAATATATATATATATTTATACTATATCTTATATACTATTATAATCTAAGTTATATATTTGTTACATATTTATATAAACATGATGTATGCGCGCACGTGTGTGTGTGTGTGAGATACCATCTCATTACTATATTCCTTGAGCTTTTCTATAAATTAGTTTTTTTATATGCGACATCTTTGTAGTTTGTGAATATCAAGACAGTTTTTTACAGGTTCTTGGCTCACAAATTAATAGTTGAAGTCTGTCAGAAGAGCTCTTAGGTGAATAATTATATATGTATATTTGTGTTAAAAAGTCATATGTGTATATACAATATAATTTTATGTAATAAATAACTATTCAACAAATATATACAACAAATTATTGTATAATCTACAGAAGCAAGTTTTCACTTGTACTGTTAATCTCTTGGGTTTTCTTATATACAAACAAAAAAAATGTGCTTTAAAAACACGAATCTTGTTTCTTCTTCCCAATGCTTGATTACATATCATTTAATTTTTTTTTTTTTGTGCTGAATGCAGAAAGTGTATCGAGTGCAGCTGCACGAAGTAGAGCAGAATAGAACGTTTCGAGACTGCCTGAAGCTCTGATTACAAGTCTTCAGAAGTTTCAGCTGTCCTGAAGATTGCACCTGATTGAACTACCTGTGTCGAAAAAAAAGAGCGAAATTTCAGAAGAAATTCTTGAAAATTCGTTTCGATGGATTTTCGATAAAAGGGAAGATTTTTTTTTTTTTGTAAACGAAATTACTCCGGACATAAGAAGAGAGTTCGGCAAGAGGAATCTGCTGTTATGTACACACATGCGGAAATAGTAATTGAAGATCACACACATAACTGCGTGACACATTGGATCCATGTAACAGGATTTCTAACCTACTATTTGGCCAGTTTGAAATCTAGTTTCGTCAAGGAATTTGCGGCGCGCGAACAATTCTATCGCAGAGACTTTCCTGCTGATGTCAACGAATTCAAGACGATTGGCGCAACTTGTCTCCGCTTGTCTCATTCTTCCTTCCCGAATAGACCCGAACGAAAACGAGCACTGTTGAAGAATAAAAGGAAGGAAAGAGACAGAAAGGGAGTTGTTGAAGAATGGCGTTCGCATGGCGCATGGCGAATCCTGATGAGAACAGTCTACGTTTTAGCCGATCAACGACTTCCTCAGGGACGATATCGAGATAGGCAAGACCATAAATAACGTGCGTGGACGCCGTTGACTGGTACATGCCAAAGGAACCGGTTTGACCCGATCAGAGATCGTTACATTTATACATAGAGGCTACTTCTGAACAAACGGAAAGTCGCAAGGTGAAAGTAAAACTCGCCTTAGAAAATACACGAGAGAGCGAATGAACACTGTTAAGAAGCTCGTCTCCTTCGCCGCGCTTGACAATCTTTTCGTAAACGCAGTTTACGAGGATTGATCAAGAAATCATGGTTTCGTTAACGCTCTTCGTCGTCAAACATGCCAATGTCATCACGCACAGCGTGGTGCGTCAACTAACCTAATTTGCGGTCGCGACCTCGGACTCTGTTATCATCGACGACGCGACAGTGTAGTTGGGTGGAACGATGTGTTCTTCGGTGAACGTGAATCTCTTCACGATGGCTCCTATAGATAGGTGGGACAATGCCTGTAGATTGTGTTCGGAGGAAAAGAACGAGATGTTGCCCATTTTTGGTGATGAAGGCATGCAACGCAGAGTGGTGCACAAACTGCGCGCCTGTTTGCCAGTATTAGTTTATAAAACTGATCCGTTGCCCAAGCAGATTTGCCAGTTTTGCGCAGCTAGGCTGGACGATGCTTATCAATTTAGAGAGTATTGCCTGAATATCTACAGGAGTATGCAGGCTGTATTGCTGAGGTACAAGAAGATTGAATCTGTACAGACTTTTTTCAACGCAATGAAGAACTCACCGGATCCATGTCAGGTTTGTTGATTAAAATAATTTTACTTTAGAAATCAAATTTGTGACCCTTGTGAATATCAATAAACAAATTTATTGCTAGTTTATTGTAATTGTTGTTATTTTAAATATTTAGTCACAGCTTTGCAAGGAGAAGTCAAGAGCTCCACCTCCATTAGTTCCTTTATCAATTGCCATGTCTCTTGATGAGTCAGTGAATTCTGTAAACCAAATTACTCAACATCAACTTCAAAGCACTGGCATGGAAGCCCTGTCTGAACTACCATGTGAGGTAGAGATCAAGGAGATGAATGCAGATACAATTTTGAATACTGAAACTGCTGTTTATGAACCACCGCATAAAAAACTCAAATACTTAGAAATACTTGACATAGGTTTACAACCAAAAACAGAGACTGTTTCTATGTCTGATGCAGAAGAAGAAACAGTTTCCAAGGCAGAACATTCGACAAAAAAAGAAGAGAAGCGGACTAGTATTTTGGAACAAGTATTGACTGGTAATTTAACAATGAATAATCATCAGAAACTGCAACCTAAAGCAAAATTAACATCTGAATGGTGGTGCTCACCTTGCAACAATTATTACAAGTAAGTAGTGACATTCTGTAACGTTTCAAGATTATCCCAAAATTTGTTCAATAACCAAGATTTAATTTTAGAACGAAAGACAGTCTAATGAAACACATGCAATTAGACTGTCCACGTATATATACTTGTAGAAAATGTTCTTTATCTTTTGATTCCGTCGAAGTTTTGGCGAAGCATGAAGCTAGTAATCATTTACAAGTCAAAGTAGATTTTGTTGGCAACTTGAAAGATTGTCATCAGTGCGACCGACAATTTGCGAGTTGGGAAATGTTAAGACAGCATAGATTACGAGATCATATCGCCGAATTAACCGAGATTGGAACTAACACGTGGTGTTCACTGTGCAATAGGTGATCACTAGTGATAACTTGAGAGATACATCTTAAAACAATTTGTTTTACATTTGTTTTTTTGTTTTACATATTTTATATTTAAACACATGTATATGTTTATAGATTCTTTCCTACTATAGAGAGTTATAAAAGTCACAAGCAATTACATCAAACCAATGAAAATTTAGTCCCGCAAAAACTGCAATCCGCAGAATCTGCATTTTCATCAACATCAAAGATAGCGGATAATCCGAAAGAAGGTAAAAGAGAAGAACACTTCTATGAAAGTGTGAAGTCTCTTACATGTCCCACCTGTGGAAAGGTATAAAAAAATATACACACATACATTTAAAATAGAATCTTATATGTGCTTCCTAAATTCTTGTATGATTATTTTTTCTTACAACGTTCATTTCAGGTTTGCACTCAGCAAAGTGCGTTGTCAAATCATATGCGCACTCACGAGCCAAAAAGACATAAATGCGAGATTTGTGGCCGGACATTTGGACTTTTTATACGCTTAGCGGCTCACAGAATGGCCGAGCATAATCAGCAGCCGACAATGTCGGCAATCGAGCAAGAAGAAGCATTAAATGCGGAAAGGGAAGCGAGAGAAGCTCGGAATCGTGGTATCAAGAATAAATCCTACGAGGTTTGTATTTTGTAGAAGTTTAATCGATTAATTCTACAACAAAATCTATCCACATTTTAGTGTTAATCAAAATTGAACTCGTTGAAATCCATAAATTTCTCATTTAAATTGTGAAATTATTTTATTCTCTTATTTAGCTAATGGAGAAGAACGATATTTTGGCGGAAGACGAGTCTTCAAAGCGTAATTCTAAGAACGTAGCAAGATGTGGCATTTGTCTACAGTGGTTCAGCGATCACACGACAATGTTAACGCATCTTCAGACACACTCGGATACTTATTCCCATAAGAGTTTTTCTTGTCATGTATGTAAAAAGTCATTTAAGGATCATAGCACGCTGTTAAGACACGAAGTAAGGTTTTAAATCAAATTTTTATCTCAATTTCATTCATTTATTTGGATCTTAAAGTAAAATCTGTGATTTTCAATCGATATAGGCAAGTCACAATAAACGTCCATCTCTCGATTATGTTCCACTGTACACATCTAATGTCGGAAACAAATTGCTTACGGAGAAAACTCATCAAACGGCACACACGGTGGATAAGACTTATCATTGCGCAAAGTGTAATAAAATCTTTTTCAAAGAAATGTCATTCCTTGCTCATCAATGTACAGGTGAACCACCTCATGCAAATGTAGCCACTGCCAAACCTGTACAGAAGACGTCGTCTCACAGTAATAATAAGAAATACAAGTGTTCCAAATGTGAGGCGTCATTCTTAACTTCGCAGTCCCGTAATGCTCATATGAGAATACACGTCGACAACTCGCACGGCAATACGGTATGTAGTTACGTGACGCGATAATGTGATTCATACTAAAAATAAAAACACTGAGACGTTGTGACCTTGCGTTTTAGGCACAGATACCGGAGATAAAGTTTGAAACAGACGATCAAGAAATGCCAAAATTGTGTCCGGAAACATTAGCGGAGTACAATGTGACCCCTATTGAGCCAAAAATTGAAATTAACGAGCAAAGTACACCTCCGCCTCTTAAACGAACTTTAATTAAAACCGCTAGCGGGTAAGAAAATGTTTGAGATATATTTGCAATATATTTTGACTTATTTATATTATAATACAGTATTTATAATACATTTATTTTTTTTTTAGATATCGATGCGGTGTGTGTCAATCACCATTCGTGTCTAGGGAGTTAGCAGTAGCACATTTGAGGTCTGCACATCCCGTGATACCGTATCAGTGCCCTTATTGTAAAAAACGCTTCACGACGCAGTACATTTTTACCCATCACATTAAAACGGAACATCCCGACGAACCCGAGAAATAGAGATCGTTCGAAACTTTGAGTTGGAGTCGATAGGACGAAATTTATATCACAATATGTGCCTCGTATTTACTGTACCATGAGAATATTAAAAAAAAACACACAAAAAACAAAAAAAAAAAACAAGTAACACGTCGATTTTCAGCAATCAACTGTTCTCAAACGAAGACTTTCTTAGTGCATATTTGCAAATACTGAGGTGTCTTACGCGAGGCTATTGATATTAGTACTTACACTGAACGTGCCTGTATAAGTGCTTTGTTTTAGTGTTATACAAAGAGTTCGCGATATAAATTATATTTGTAAATAGTACGAAGAATAAGGCAGTTCTAGAGTGACGGTAATGCGGATTTTAAGCCCTGTGACAGAGAGGTTTGTGTAAATAAATTTTATTAATCATTTAATAAACACTTGGTTACACACGTATTTTACATTTAGATTTAAGCCGTTATTCAAAGTTATATTGTTGTTAATAACTCGTGGCTATAATTACATAATTCTTATATTTGATATAACACACGCAGTTACATAATCATCATATTTTCGATCTTACGTAGTGTTAAGTAAAAAATTCAAACACATTCGCAAGTTAAATTAAACACACATTTTTGTACATTTTTTAAAATCTCAATTACGTTCACTCTAAAATTGTTTATAGCAAAATGACATAATTCAATTTTCTGATGCCATTGTAAGTTATCTCTTGCGTTTTTAAAACTTAACACTCTTCTCTGTATTGCGATATTAGAGAGAGAAAGATTATTAAGGAGTTTAGAATGTTTAATCATGTGTTAAAATACATTCCCTTTTTTAAAACACACTTGCTTGTATCTACGTCTTATTTCGTGTAACAATTTTATATAACAATTCTTGCTCGACATCTTTTAAACGCCGAGGGTGAAATCGTTGTGAAATTTCAGACTGGCAACGAGATACCGTATAATTTAAGTACCACTGTCTTTATAGAAATTTATTTTATATACGTATATTGCTTATGTCATCTACAATAAACTATTACCGAAGAACTATTCTTATCTCGTAAAATAAAAACGATTGTTGTACCAGTTGTATAATTTTTCAAAATTTTTAGTTTCGAGAATCGTACACACACATGTAGATATCAGCAAGAAAATTGTTTACAGATTTCTCCATACATATATATGTTTTTTTTTTTTTTATTCTTTGTTTATTGATTTTTATCGTTTGTCATTTAATTTCTCAGTTCTTCGAGTGTCAACGTAGAATTGCAAAGAAGCGAAACGAAAGATTGCAAATAGCGTACCATGGCGAATCTTTCGCGATTTCGATACGGATGAAGTTCGTTCCGACACGTCGTCCACGAGCGGGGATGTGCGTCTTACAGCAAACCGGCAGCATGAGGGAGGCGACGGGGATGAAAAAGAGATGGAGGAGAGACGGCGTGTGTGCACCATCGACGAATGCATCGGCGCGCGGCGGGCGCATCGCAGGGAGTCCAGAGAGGGTGGATCTGCCGCATAGTGGTGCCGATACATATAGAGTTGCCGAGGGATACTCGGCGACTCGCACGGGTGTCGCACGTCAGTTGCTATGCATCCGGGTGCGGTGGTGAACGCGGCGTGCGACCCGAGAGCAGCGAACCACCACCGTCGTTCCTAGTTCGCGTGCGCTCGCTCTCTCAGGACACCGGTCGCGACGACGAGACGAAGAACACACGCGCCCCGGTCGCTCACTGCCGAAAAATCCTTCTCACCCCGGACGACGACGACGACGACGACGACGACGACGACAGCTACAACGGCGGGAACGCCTTCCATGCGGGCTCGACGCGATTAAAAAAAACATTCTTCCGAGCACAAGCACGCACATGGTCCGACGATCTCTACCATGATCGCGAATCAAGCCGCGCCGATCATCGGCTTTCTCGTCTTTCTTGTCCTGGCGGCCACTTTCGATCGCGGTGAGTTGTCGATCGAACTCGCGGCGATATCGCGACTCGTTTTTCTGGAACGACGACAACTTTTTTTTTTTCCCGTCCACCGGAAAAGCGATCGATCTTCCTGCGGAGCGCGATTGCGTGCGAAACTGCGAATTTAGATCTTCGCGGAAGATCAAAACCGACATAATGACAAAAAAACGTCCGATACCGCGATCAGACGTTTTTACCCAGCGCGACTCTCACGTTTCCTTTGTATGTTTGACTTAAAAATGACGTAAATAGTGAAAAAAAAAAAAACGTGTAAGAGAAAAAGTCTTATTTGAGAGAAAATATATTTGAAGTTACACTTTCACATAGCGAGAGACACTCACGAGAGCTGTTATGTAACTGCATCATCGGTTTGTTGCAAGCGTGTTTTCAAGCATTTAAATAATTTAACAATTATTTTAAAAATGTATTTGTCCACAAACAAATTGTCTCGAGAATTTTATTTTTGAATTTTCACAGAAATGTTGTGATTTTTTTGTTTGTTATAAGAGAAGCACATTTTTTTTTTTTTAGAGAAATATACATTTGTGTAATGTTTTTTTGTGTTTTGCAGACGTTTAAAAAAGCAAGTAGAAAATCGGAGAGAGAAGTTTAAGTTAAGAAAAAACGAGATCTCTTTGCGTGAGCTCGAAGAAGACTTTTTCGTTAATTTAATTTTTGTCACATATATTATTTTTAATATAAATTACAATTTGCCATTCACGAATATATTTCACCGTGTCCGAAAGCGCGCGAACGATCGATAACACGAGCTCATGTACTTTATTCACAAGTGAGGAAATGAGTCGTATACATCACGGCGCAATGCGGCGTAGAGATGATGGCAGGGAAAGTTGTCGTCGTATACGGAATCGTCTAGACAGAGGAAGACGAAGTCAGAACGCGGAGATTGGGAAAAACTCGGGAAATAAGAAAATTTGAAAGGCGTTAAACATTATTTTGATCAAATCAATATCTAAATACTAAATTCTCTCTCAAAGCGAGTCGGATAATTTGTGAAAACAGGTCTCAGAAAGATCTAATCTGGCAAAAATACAGATCAGATCTTATCGAACAAGTTGTATCTTCAATTGTTACTTAACGCGTATGAAAGTTACATAACTTCAATTATGTATAGCACCGTAGTTCGTTTCACTTTGCAAATTCTTAAAATTATTTTTTAATTGACTTTAATTCCCTGCTATTTTAACTCTCGCGAGAATTATAAAACTGAATGAGATTACATATCTCGCAAATATCGCGAAGAAACAATTTTAAGAATATAAATCGATATTCTCTTCTCTCATTATATAAACCTCATTGATATTAATAACATCTCGAAGAGTCGAGATTTGGATTTTCAAGAGAATCGATTTTAACTCTTCTTTTTTTTTTTTTTTTACGTTTTTTCTCGTCCGTCTTGTTCGATCGCGTGGTTCCCGTGCGCAAAGCAAAAATTTTACTTAACAATAATCGCACGCGGTATTATGGCCGGTGCGACACCGATCGACACGAATTCCTACAACGGTAGCACTTGTGGTACTTCAGCACACCGGATCATGAAAATGTGCATACGCGTTTGTCGAATCGAATCCTATTACAATGGAAAATATTACAATAACTGTGCGTCCTTCATTTTATTATATTTATTTATTTAAAACACGATTAATCTTGTAAAAACTATGTCGCTCGAAACAAATGAAAAAAAAAGTGGCAGTCGTTTCAACGATTTCCCGTAAATGTTTCTCAATAATGCAGACAATTTATCTGCGATTTAGTAATTAATTGATCGATTACGAGAAAACGCAGTTTTCTATACGAAAATTAATTTAATTTACGCACGGCCCGATTTCGTTCGTTCAGCATTAAATTCGAACAAACTGGCGAGCCTCGATTCGCACTTCTCTCTTGTCGACGTTGTCGATATACATCCGGCGACTACGGAAAAGTAGTGTCGTTTCCGGGAAACGGCTAAGGCTGCGCAATAGATATTCGTATTCCCGGGCATGTGATTAACGCTATCGCTTATCTTCTTAACGAACATCCTCTCTGCGAGTTGATGACGTAAGTTTCCTCCCCGCGGGAGCGCAAAGGTTAAAGGTGAAAGTTTTCAGGGAAACCGGCAATGACGTAACTCGCACCGTCGACGGGTCGACGAGCAAATTTAATCAAAGATGCGACCGGTAACGGTTGGTCACTTCGACCTCGTCTCGCTGTTTGTTTTGATGTTGAAATTGCGCTTCCAATTTGCAAATCTAACAATATCGACTCGATTGCCGATACGCGACACAGATGTGCGTCGCGAGTCGTTCGATGATTTCTTTCGTTTGCCGATCGTGTAAGAATTGCCGGTGTGAGGATCGACCGGCAATTCGCGTTCAGAATACCTCGGATAAGCGCGCTATATCCGACAATTTGTTGAAAATTAGGATACCGTCTACCGAAAGTCGCCGTCGTGAGGGTTATCGAGCGACCCACTTTCTCCTTCTCCACAACCCCTTTCCTCTTCTCACTTACTCCCTTTCTAATCGCTCCTTTTTTCTTTCCCAATTTTTACATTCGCAATATGGTTTTTTTTATAGAACTTTAAATTGTTTCGATTGAAAAAAATCAAATTATCGATATTATTCGAAACGTTTTGTTTGCCATCTACTTTGTTTTCCTCGCATATTGAACGAATTCGGATTTTCTTTTCCTCAATTTTATGTTCGAAGAAACAATCGCATTTCTCATTCAGCGCAAGTAAATAGATTATTAAAATAATGATTAAAAAATAATGAAATTTATATATAAATATAGCACAGAAGTTCGAAAAGCGTCGTAAAAATTAAAGAAAAAAGACGGCTAAAGTGATTTAGACATCTCTCAGGACATCTTTTGAGATATTTCTCGGATTTTTGTGCTATCTGGATATGGTTCGACTTGGCAATTGATACGAAAAAAAATAAGTGGGAGGACAAAACTAGGTGATTAAGACAAAATTCAACTCGATCCACATTTTCTCTCTCTCTCTCTCTCTCTCTCTCTCTCTTTATTCGCTTTCGTCCCATATAGCTGTAAATTTTGGATTCTTCTCATCGATCTGCAACACGAGACAGCTGAGTGTAGGTCATCGCGTGCCTTGTCTCGTTGTTCGATATCAGCTGGCGCCGTATCAGCCTAGTTTCGTGGTCGTGGGATGCAACGAGTGTGCATGTAGCGTTGTTACGTCACACACAGAAGGGCGAGACGACGTGAACCAGACCTTCCTCAATCGACACGCTCTAATCCCTCTGGCCCGGCTGAAACGTCTATTGAACTTGTCATAAAAAAATTTGTCATCAAAACTAATAATTCTCTTAAATAAATATTCTGCTCTTCTAACTTTGTGTTTTAACGTTATCGTCCGCAATCTTTTTAATTGCGTACGAACAAGTTTAAACACGATCTCTTTTCTTTTTTTCTTTCAGGTGAAGCGATAATATGTTACCAGTGCAACAGCGAGTACGATCCGAGGTGTGGCGACCCGTTCGACTCGTATTCTTTGGGAACTGTCAACTGCAGTTTTCAGCCTCGCCTGGAGCACCTCAGCCACTTAGAACCTACTATTTGCCGGAAAATCAGTCAAAGAGGTGATTCTATACGTATTTTCAAAAATCCGCTTCCACAACGCTCACATGATTAAGATAAGTGTGGAATAAACTTTGTTCAAATATCAGAAATAACATTTTGACTAGAGAGAAGACACTTTAAATCGCATAATGTTTGCAGTGGAATATGAAATTTTTGCACACTTATTTATTCCGAAAAAGTCGTCAATCCTGAAGGATGTTTGAGTTTGATCGTCAGCGTTTATTTTCAGCAAGTGGAATCACAGATGACATCATCTCGCGCGATCGAGCAACATATTGCCAGCCATGTATTTCGTTTACTTTTTCTTTTTTTCCAGTGTATGGCAAGGTGAGAGTCGTCCGGAGCTGCGGCTACATCGCAGACGAGTCGAAGGACGACGGCATGTGCCTTATGAGGTCCGGCACCCACGACGTGCGCGCGGAATACTGCTCATGCACCGGTGATCTGTGCAACTCCGTCGAGAGTCTCCGCACGCCGTCCTTACTGCCACTGGCGTCCCTCCTGACCGCCGTTCTGGCGACACCAAATCTGCTATTGTCGTGCTCGTTCGCGCCGCCTCGTACCTCTCTCTCAATAGCCTAAACATTTCTGCCTAATTAATTTAAAAAATTTGAATCACACACCTCAAAAGAGAATCAACGTTAGCAAACCGTCGTCGCGCGCCGCACGGACCGTTCGTATACACCAGATATTATTGTATTCGCGCGATCGCTTCTTCGCCGCCATTGTCGATCGGTTGTCGATCGATTGTCAATTTCTCTCGTTAGGATTATTATTAAATACATCATGACAAAACAAAAAAAAAAAAAAAACGCTCACGCGCTCCAAGAGAAAAAAATCCACGACGAAGCTTCGTTGTTTTTCGAGAAAGATAATGTAACGCTGTTATCATACGTTTTCAGTCTATATCGTATTATTGTGTAACTTTAATAACTTTGGCCTAATTAAATATCGCGTCAGATTGTAATGATGATATACGTATTTTTGCGCTATCAATATGAAAAAAAAAAAAACTTCAAACAATAACTTCTTCCAATAATTGAGAAGAAACCCCGATGTGATCCCCTAACTAACTCTCTCTGCGGTAAAATAATCAGCGGTAAATAAATAAATAAATATAACCAGAAACGAACGAAGTTCAACCGATACGATAAAGTCTCGCGAGACGCTGTGTGTGTAAAAAAAAAATTCTTCTTAGAGAAATCTTTGAGAATCCCATAGCTAAGTAAAATTGGAGATTATAGATTACAAATTCAGCGAACGGTCCGGAAATAATAGCCGGATTATTATGTAGCGTAAACGGTGATAACTGCCAGATGCGCGAGGACGACAATTCAGTGTAGTACACATATCTTCGCGAGAAAAAAAATAAAAGAAAAAAAAAATTAACACACGGCCTCCGCGTAAAAAAAAAAAAAAAAAAAAAAAAGAGTTCAGTCACCGATCTCTCGTGTCGTTTCACGTCTGATATCGCACTTGTCGCGCGAATATAACTTCGGCTGTGCTGATTCAGCTGTCGGACAGAGAATATTTTTTGCACGAGTAGATTGAGAGGAATCGATTAGAAATCTCGCGTTCTGTAAACCTATTTTTTTTTTTCTACACTGATATATTCGCAATTTTTGAAATTACTTGGAAACGTTCTTCTTCAATAAAAATAAAAAACAAAAACAAAAAAAAACTGTCAAATTTTTGTAATCGATTAGTTTTCGAACACACTTGTCGACACCACAGCTCTTCTTTACGGAAGGCGTTTCTATCGATTTCTGTTAATTTGCTTACTTTTGTACAGGAACGACCGACAGAGTTTGATACTGAGACGAGTGCGCTATCAAAATGAAAAGAAGAAAAACAAAAAAATCGTAGAAAAAGCCACGCATCTTACGAGAGTTTTTATTTATAAATTAGTGAAACGAGGAGAGTCTCTCTCTCACACGGTAAAATATAATTAAACAAAGTAGCGGCATCGCGACACATTTCGCACCCCGCCTGCTACCGCTGAACATGTATGTGCGTCGAATGAACATGTGTGTGCATGTGTTTGCGTGCGTAACACAAATACACAGTTACAAGTTACACAAATACACAAGTACACAGTTACTATGTGTATGTGTGTGCGCGCACGCGAAGTTGTAAAAAAAAAAAAAAAAAAAAAGAAGTACATAAGTATATATTTTGTTGTCGGAACTACAAGCCGAAATGGAATTGCACGCGCGCGAGATCGACAGTTCTGCTTATTTTTAGAAATGCAAAATGTCACATAGCGTTTGCGGTGAAAAAAACAAAAAGAAAAAAAAATAAAATAAAAGACAGGATCTTAACGTTGTTGTTACGATAATAAAGCGGACTATGTAAAGAAAGAACGGGGATATATAACATATCGACGATAAAAACCGAGAGATAAAAACCTCGCATTTATAAGTTCTACGGTAAGGGTTGAAAATCCGCCATCGCGTCCAATACGATTGTTCCGCAGAACTATGCAATATTTTAAGTGCAGGTGTAAGCCATGTAAAAGACCCGAGTCACCTGAGCGTACAATAACCGCCGTTCGTATGCGTATGTGTGTATGTGTGTGCATGTGTGTATGTGCGCGCGCTGATATGTATGCGCAATAAAAAAAAAAAAAAAATTGTAAGTGTGACGCTAAACTCAAATAGCTCAATTAATAGGGCCGGTTGTTGCACTTTCGGGTAATAAATGTATGTCCGCTAATTTGTCTAACAGATAGAACACAAAAATTTCTTTATCTCTTTTTAGATCGCGTAAACACACTGACCGTTAAGATTTAATTAGTTGATTATCTAATTAGATGACCGACCGATTTGAAATGAAACCGGCCCTTAAATAATTTGTTGTTGCTCCTTGACTGGCGGTCAACAGAGATGAGAGGGTAATTAATAATAAATAGATATTATAATGATGACAGCAACACGCGGTGTCGTCGAACGAGCAATAACGCGAGGAAGTAGAACGATTTATTGACAAAAAAAATCTAGGTAAAGTAGAAAGAGAGAGAGAGAGAGAGAGAGAGAGAGAGAGAGAGAGAGAGAGAGAAAGAGATAGAAAGAGAGAGAGAAAGAGAGAGAGAGAGAGAGAAAGCGCTTTATCAACGTAAACAAAAAAAATAAACAATACGTCACAAAAAGTAGTCTTACAAAAAAGATCGTCACTACTGCTGCTGTCACCACCGGTCGTCGCCATTATTGCCATTAAATACAATCGCTATTAATTACTTATTGCCACCACTACTATTATTATTAATTATTATTATTATTATTATAGTTGATTGTTAGTATATTGACCTGTTGTTATAAATAATAACGCTGGTAATTATCATTAGAGCGCGAATGGCAACAACCGTAACAACCATATGATCGGTAAGCGTGAGATAAAGGGAAATAAAAGACAGTGAGAGAAATGAGGGAGAAACCGGGGATGGAGGAAAAGAGACAATTCAAATTTTAACGCCATCAAAGATTTATAAATTAACGCAATAAATCACATTTATTTTAGTATCGAGACGTAGATGAGATATATGTATATATATATGTATATATATATATTCGCCTTTTGCTCCCAACGTTCTCTTTCATTTCCCCTGTCGCTTCGAGAGAAGTAAATACGATTTTATTCGATCTCGTTTGAGATACGGCTCCATACAGTTGCGAGAAATGCGGAAGTTCTTTGTTGTTGAGAGATGACTGACTTTGCGTTCTTTTGATAGACGTTCGGAAGGAAAAAAAAACAGTCGCGCCATTTGCAGAAAAGATGTGAAATTAAGAAAATAATCCTTTTCCCGAGGTGTGTCTCACAAAGAAATTATTAAATGTTCCACAATATCGCGTGCAACACTTTCTAAACAGTATTAAAAACAATACTATTACAGTATTAAAAGTATTATTAAGCACACACACATATTGATAAGAGAAAAAATCCGCTTACGATAAGACAGAAAATCAACAATCGATGTCATACGTTTGAACGTTATTTTTTTTTTAGCTATCATCAAATGGATTTCAATCGATTAAAAATCTCTCGCGCGTTTAACAAGTCTCTCTTTTTTAACGGTTGCAAAACGTGTTCTATTTCCGCCAGCTATTTTTTAACGATGTCAACAAGTAATGTAACAATTATTCAGATTTCTCGTTCCTTCGTCTGCTCAAAGAAAAGTATTGCCAACACTTATACGTTACAAGAGAATGTGATATTCTATTGAGAACTAAAAAACACATGCTGCCATATTAGGTACATCGACTTGAAGAAAAAAAAAAAACGCTGCCACATCTTAAAAATCGCGGCACACAATCGTATGTCATCACACTCACACCCATACACACACACACACACAATATTGTTGTAAAATAAAGTATCACACATATATGTATATAAATATCTGTGTTAATAGAGTTCAAGATTTTAACAATAGTTATCAAGGTTTTCTAGTTCTAAGGCAACACTGTTCTCAACGCCAACACAACGCTTCGGAATAACATATTGCATCGATTGTGAGACTCTAATAGCAATAAAAATGTTTTGAAGGACAGAAAAAAGAAAAAATGAGAAAAGGAGTTGCGTTGTACTGTGAGATTTTTCGCACGGGCGGCTCTTGTTTCGCGGTGATTGTATATCAAAAGAATGCTTACGTCAAGTCTCATCGAATCTGTTCGTAATGCTCATCGTCAGTGACATTACAATATCATATATTATGTACAGAGAAAGAGAGAAAGAGAGAGAGAGAGAAAGAGAGATTAAAAGAGAGAGTATTCTGCCAATAATAAAGTGTTGAACAATTAACAAGAGTGTCTTGTATTTTTTTTAAATCTTTGTCGCAATTGTTGTTTCGACGAGATATCCGCGATAGAATTCTTTAAAGCGCGAGTTGAATAAATTTCACGCGCAGATGTGAACAGGTAGGTGTAGAAAACTCACTTTCACACATATACATAATTTTATTGCAATTTATATATATTATATATATTATATATTATATTCATACGAATGACTCTCGCGTAGTTAAAAAACATTTACAAAAAAATTACCTACAAAAGTTATACTATTTGCATTACAAAGTTATTAGTTCACTTATATACGTATTTTTACGTATTTTTTGTTTTAGTTGGCTTTTTAGATGGATTTATATTAAAAAGGCACTGAATCAAAGAAATCTTCTTACTGATAGGAAGACAGCATATTCCGTTAAAGTTTTTTTTTTTTCACCTCTTTTTTTTAAATGCAGAGCAGAGAGTAAATTAAACTTGAAAACAAAATCTTTAAAAACGCTCAACTTTTTCTTTTTGTAAATAATAATACTTCGGTCAAAAAAATGCATAAACTTTAATACTGCAGTTACGACACACACGCGATACGAACAGTCTTTCGGGTAGTGTGTCGCGATGAAAATTAAGTAACTGCTACACAAGTGTGCTAGTAAAAAAAAGCGTATATATATTTTTAAATTTTTATCTGCGTTCGAAAACTTCTTGACAGACATTCGAATATTCATTTTTGTTTCAAACAAAGATTCGAAACACTTAAAAAAAAAAACTGATCACTTTTATAACTCGGACTAAACATCACAAAAGAAAAATCAGTTCTTTTCTCTAACAACATTTTTTAAGTGAACTATCTGACAAATCTATTTCCAGACTAACGTGTAAACAAAAACCAAAAAAAGTGTACATAAATCAAGTCTGGTTCTAAGAAGAATTAGCGTTGTGCCTGTACATTTATATTTAACTTACTAAACTATTAGTGATGCGGTTTTTATTCAGTCAGAAGGTAACATGTTTAAAATTGATTCTGATGTGAATCATCAGAAGTACTTACAGTATTTTTATGCACCATTAGTTCTCCAGTGTGAAACAGGAAAGACTAAAGTCTAACACGACAAAAAAACTTACTCAAACTCGTGGAATGACTATTAGTTGTAAATCACATTAGTATCAAATGCATCGATTATATCAATATACAAGAAACAGTGATAATGCAGGATATCCAAATTTTTTCACGTTACGTTCATTTTTACATTAATGACATATCCTTTTAGTAAAAATTTAAAGTTTCGGTTTTGCCTTAAAAAAATTCGATCGAAGGAGATAAATCACTTATTTTTTTTTTTTTATAATTTGGTCTCTTCTCGGATGTTAAACGTGTGTCTACGAACTTACCTAATATTCGTAATAATTAAACGGAATATATATTACAAAGCAACAGATGAAAAACCCGCGTCCTTCGTATATTTGAAACATATCGAGTCTTGAAATGCTAAGTGTCCGAGAGTATCGTGTCGATTGGTGCCTTCTTTTCTTCCAACGCGAGCGGAGTGACTAGTTGCATGTTAACCGATATATACAAGGGATAAGTTAGCTGCCTATCGAGGCACATTATTTCGTGCTGAAAAAAAATGCGCTGATTCAAAAATGAAATACATCCCGTCATACATTACAAATACATAAATCATCCGTAAGTGTTACTTACTTCTGTATTTCTCTTTAAACGTAGTCTTCGCATGCCCGAATTTTGGACGTGCTTCACCTGACGTTGTTCGTCCAATGAAAATAGACAGACCCTGTTCGAAAAATTGTCACATTATCTGCCGTTATCTCATCTAATCCGAAATGATGAGAATTGAAACGCGTAAATTTTAATACTTACTTTATTAAAATTTTGTGTTCTTTATGATTGGCTTTAATGTGCTCCGAGTCTACTCTGTGATTTCTCTCGATGCGCAATGTGGTGTTATCTAAACTCATTAGTAAGTCCAGTCCGTAGTGAAATGCCTTCCATCTCCAAATATGTTCGCCTGGCTTTTCGACACATCTACCGCAGCGAAAACATTCCTTTGAAAATTCTTCTTCTGTCATTTGTTCCGGACTGAAAAAAAAACAAACATTAGTTTCCAAAGTCACGTACATGCTTAAAAAAATAAAAACTTGTAATATTTACCCTCTATCTTTATTCCCATCGACTCTTAATAAATGAAGCCATTGCTCTCTATAAGCATCATGTAACCAACTTGGTGGTATTAAATTATCACTATATAAGATTTTGTCATCTTGTTCGTGCAACAATAAATATTTCATTCTTAGTGCCATGAAAGGTGCTGCGTAATCTTTGCCTTCTTCAGTCGTTAAAAACGGTTCTGTCCATTTGTGATTTTTAAAATATTCATCAATATTTAATGTTTCCTCGTAATCTTGGGTATGTGCAAACAACCTAATGTAATAAGTTGTGTGATTAGCAGCTTTGTCATTTTTTGAGCTAATTGTAAATAAATATAAATACATCGAAGGCATTTTGATAAATTACCATACACGTAACATCATGTATATACAAAACTCTGTTTGCAAAACTACTAAATCGGGACTGGCAACTAATTCTTCCATTAAGTCCGGTGCGATTTGCTTCAAAAAGGACGGATGTCGCCATCCGTAACTCAACAAATTCACTTCCAGCCAACGTTTTGCAGCTGCTTTAACATTAGGCACGCCATATGACACAGCTGCGTTATAATATGGCACAACAGTTTCGCTATTTGTGGTTTCTATCATGATGTCTGCACACTCATCTATTAAGCCTTGCAATTGAAACAGAGTGGATGTGGCCAGAATGGAAACAACTTCTTTTGGTTCCAAATTGACTTCGTCTTGATAGAGAGAGCCCAAAACTACAGACAATGCTGAAATATTACAAAATATTAACATTTCGCGCAATGTAAAAATTGACCTGATGTGCAATTAGATTCACACAAGCGCAATTCTTACAATTCATTGTAATATTTGGATCTGTGATTTCAACTTTAATGACTTTCTCATTGGCCTCTCTCCAGGAACCAGAAAACATACTAGCAAAATATGGACTCTAAATAGAAAAAAGAATATAATTTACATTAGAATGTTTTGAATTAGAATTTACCAATTAATCAAAAGCATCATTTATTTACATTAGATACAACATAATTTTTTTAAATCATAATACTTCACAGAATATAAAACAAGAATTCTTTCTTGTCAAAATTATCATAAAATCTGAATTCTAAATGTGACTGTGTCAAGGAAAGTTCAGAGATGAAAACGAGAACAGGAATGAGTCATACCTGACTGATATAAACTTTGTGTAATCTCCATGCTCTTCCAAGTATGAGAACAGTTATGTCACTGCCTTTCTCCTCTTGGAACAGAGTTTTGTATATGTACTGTGCCGTCGTGAGCAATTTTCTCCTGCAATACGCAACGATAACATAAAAATTCATAGAACGCATTTACATATTTGTTTTTTTTAATGAAACGTAAACGTTGTTGCGTGTCCGACGTGCGCGCGTATCGTTCTGGACAGACAAGAATATGCTTCGATATGAAAATGACCGCGAGCAATCTTACTTTTTTGGCGTTTGAAGTGTTCGCTCGATGTACTCGGACTCCGAGTCGTTGTCGTACTCCTCGATGTATTTACGTTTGCATCCTCGATACACATGCACGGCCGTATTTGACATCGACGCGATTCTGCTCGCGTAGCCACCCATCTCGTTGATTGACAAACAATTCTCTCGAGAAAAATTCTTTTTTCACAATCAGCCGTGGCAAACACAGTGGCTTGCAGACGGAATCACGCGTTTCAATTAACTTTTGACGCCGTTGTCGTCGTCTCAGCCAAGGCCGAGTAGGAAGTTGCTGTGTATAACATGAAGCGCACATCAAAAACTTAAATGTGAACTATACAGTGAACTTCCTTATCAATAATTGATCGTATTGATCACTAACATATCGACAGTCTGTAAGATAAGTTGACACACTTATCGACATTCAATCAGTCGCGTGTCGATAAGTGTGTCAACTTATCTTACAGACTGTCGATATGTTAGCGATCAACACGATCAATTATCGATAAGAAAGTTCACTGTGTGGGACATACTTTCTAGTTCCTGATGTGCGCTTCATGTTATACACCTCAACTTCCTGCAAAAGCTCGAATATATATATGCTCGAACACAATTATTTGCTTCATCGCACGAGAAGTATTTTAACACGCGCACACACGTTTGCGTGCTTGATAAATTTAATATCTGATTTATTAAAATTCTTTGTTCAATTTTAATTAACGCACAATTATTAGCGTCAATATTACTAAATTAATGTAAATTTACAATAGTAAATTTGTGCTTTGAATCTGTCTCTCTGTATGATACGGATACTGCAGATAGTGTTACATTTATCCGCACGATATACACGTGCGACAAGTAATTATAGAACTAATATTACAAAGACTATTCAAATATTTTACATTTTTATGTTTAACAAAAATGGTACAGCGATCAATTTTTTTTATTACACTGATATTAACTTATTTATTTATAAAAGTATATATATTTACTAAGTTATTAAATTATACTTTTTATATTGAATTGAGTTACACATCTTAAAAAAATTTATGTTTATTGAAAAGTTTTGCTGGCAACTCTTTCAGGCTTTTGTTTAAAAAAATAACAGTTTTATTACACGCGCACACGTGTCAATATCTAAATATTACACGATAATAAAATACGTTTATTATGTCACGAGATCTGGAACGTTTTAATTAAAAATACCATCGTCGCAACGACGCGGATAAAAACAAAACACATTGCTTAATTAATTGCACCTCTAAAAAGTTTATTTTCATTAGTCACGTTTTACAAAACGATCTCTGCAATGATAAACGCTCCCAGCGTCTGAGAAAGTTCCGAAAAAGATGTACCTATTTTTCTCGCTCGCGCGCGAGATGTGTTTTAACGATTTCTTCTTTTTTTTTCTTTTTTTTTTTAAGAAAAAAAGAATCGCCGGGCGATTACGGCGACACAATAAAATGGCACTCCATTTTAAGGGTTTCATTGCCACTAGAGTCTCTTAATAATTGCCGGATTCCAATTAAATTCTCCGAGTACCTTCTGTCTCATTAGCATCGCGGGGAGCGCGGCACTTGAAATTATTCAGAAATCCAGAAGTCCCCAAAGAGCATGGGTGATCCCTACAAGGGAACGCGAGCGGCGGTGTAACACATGCACTTTACGGATAATTGCAATTACGGGGTTGTTACCGGAGAACCTCTCTCGTATATATATTCCTCTCTCTCTCTCTCTCTATCTATCTATCTATCTATCTTTCTCTTCATCGTGTCATCTATCGTGATCGATCGCGGATGCGTTTCAAGCGAATGCGAGAAAAGACATCCGTGGTGTAACGCGTGTCTTTTATTCTTTCACGTATCTTTTCTTCGCTTTTGCGACTCGTTTCTTGTTACATCGTATAATTTTTATCTCGCAAGACTTGCAGCTGTATGTTACGTACATGTATAGCGGGACGATTGATAAGTACCCGAAACGAGTTAACGACGGTAGTGTCACATCGCTGTTGCGTGTCGTTGACAAATTTCGTTCTTCGGAAGAAGAACAAATGTCAAATGCTGGCTCGTTATCGCGTGCGATGTTTGTGTGACAGCTCGCCAAATTGTAGCCATTTACGGCGTCGATGACGTTTTATTGTTGCTGGAGAATTTCTTTTCACTGAGCCATTTTTTTACATTTGGAAACAAAAAAATCGCACAGAAAATCGCCGTATCTTACAAAAAAAAAAAATAAAAAAACGGATGAGGCAGCAATTCTAATCCCAAACTCGTCAATTTTGGGCAGTGCGACAGCTGAGGTGTGAGCGTCTGCTTCGAAACCTGCTACATCGATAAGGTACTACCGTCGTTTTGACTACTTATCAATCGTAAATGCGCAACCACGTATTTATACAAACGTACTGCATAAAAGAGAATCTCGTTACCAGCCGATTTTATCGCGTGTATGAGCGAATTTATGCGAAAAAATAACCGATTCAAGAGGCACGGTAATGCCTCGCGCCAAGTTCACGCGCACCGAAGTCGCTCTCGAACAAAAAGACACGTGACTAAAAAAAAGTCTGTTTTTCCTTTCTTTTTTATCACGTGACTTTAGTCTCGTGTTGTGTTTCCACTCCTCTCTCTCTCTCTCTCTATTTTTTGAGTTTGATTTTCATGCGTTTTTTCAGAAACACCTTTCATATGTGTATTATATGGTTTGTAAGACGGTCATGCTTTGTTTCTCCGTGTAGCGGCGATTACCGTAACCTTTCATTCGTTTTACATGTCGCCGAAAAAAGAAAATAAAAATAACAAACTGGAGAAAATCCGATTATTTAGTTGGCAACAATGTTAATATGCGTGACGCGTGTTTCGGATGTAAATCACATTATGAGATATTAACCGCGCGCGAAGCGCGTTCGCGCTTTATTAATGTCGATATATCGGACCGACATATACGCCGTAACCACACAGCACGTTTCGTCAGGTGTGAGAAGATCTACGAGATTATTATGTTAATCCCTAAACACGTGTTTAAAGCACCTTAAAAATAATTGATGATTCTTTTATATTTTCATTTAATTTTAACTGAGCGCAAAGGATTATTTATTGTCTTTGTTAGAATAGAAAAACTAACGTGTCGGTGATGTTGACAACAAATCGTATCGTCTCACAATTGCGCGAGGAGTTTCCTTTTTGATGTGATGGGAAGTTGCGTTAATTCGTACACGTGCTCTACATGCGCATTACCTGTGTGCATCCTCATTATTGACATATCGTCTCATGATCGAACGTTTTGCATGCAAAGCAGCACATATATAATATATATATATATATATACACATATATATTTCTCGCACGAGGTACATAATGTACTACCATCCGCAATAATGCTCGCGCATACCTATACGCGCGGCGGAGAGACGTATTATAGATAGACGCGAGAGATGTAAGCGCAAAAATCTCTACCGCGCGCGCATTGTATACGCGGCGCACACAATTACGAACGTAAAGTGATAGCGAAATTGCCGGATTTTTTCCGGGAGTTTCTTTTCGTCAGATTAATTTAAATCCGTCGAAGTTTCGCGAAAAAAAAAGAACATGCGTGACATCGACGACGTGACACATTCCGTATTTTTAATTTCGCGCCGCGATCGTCCGATGTATATCTACGCGCGGATCAGCGGTCTATTTATCACTATTGGATTTCCGCGTTCGATCCCGCGCGGAAATACGGTTGTCTTAAATTGAAACTGTCGACGAGAGCTGCTCGACGAGAAGTTCGCACGAAGGGGCGCACTTCGTTACTCTCCCGAAGGCGGAAACTTTATCGAGAGGGACGCGAGAGGTGACACTCGTCGTTTTTTTAAATTCTCTTTTTCTCCGGCAACCTTGTGGGGACTTTTCGCTGTTTTCTCTTTCTCTCTCGCTCTTTTTCTCTTCCTCGGGAAAAAATATCCCGCGCGCGCGAGATTCAACGGAATAATGGCGAGGGTTTTTACTCTCGCACATATTTCCGCGGACGTATTGGTGAGTCGATTATTTTAATGCCATTTACCGCACCTGCAGCTATACGATATTTTAATGCTTAAATATCTGGCTAATGCGAATGTGATTTACGTGCGCGTTTCAGTGCTCGCTGTGTAGTAACTATTAAGTTAGAAATTTATTGTCGGACATTTTGTCATGAAAATATATGAAATATATATTTTATGTAAATATATATATATATATATATATATATATATATGAGAAATTCTAAATATCAAGAAAGTAATTACCATTATTTAGACAAGAGGAATATCATATAATATGTAGGGGATGTTGATTACGAGAATAATTTTGTAATAAATTATTTATATTTCACTTTTATTTAAATAAGATTAGTTTAATTAAATTATACAGTATTACATCTCTCTCTCTTTATTGTTCAACAAGTAATTGAATAATAAATAAGTAATGACGTACATACGTAGTTAAATTTGATAAGTATATAATGAGAGGTGGGAAACAAATCGTTGCAAAGTTTTTCTTTGCGATTCTTTCTTTTGTGCATTTCGAAGAAACTCGGCGTTTTCGCATTCCGGATTGAGGGTTTAAAGAAGTTCGAGCGAAAATAAAAAGAAAGCGAAATAAATTCCGCAGATGCCAACGGAAGGGCAAAACTACGGCACAGAGAGAGAGAGCTCGCGCTAAGACTCTTGAAGAGAGTTTCGAAGTGACGATCATGCGAGCACACATAAATTTCCATTTCTCTAATTATTTTCCTTCTCATGGTGTTTACAAATACACACGCCACGCTCTTCTAATTGAAAAAGTTTATTTATGGCACGGATTTCATTGAAAACAAAAATTGTTCAAGGTAGCAAAAAGCGCTTCTTCGATCGTTAATCGCGTGCAAAACACGTGGTTTTCTCGCTTCGTGTTCTTCGGGATCATTAGAATGTTGTAAAAAACTTCTTCTCCTCGCAGATCTCCTCTCGCGTCAAAGGGAAACTCTGTAGTGTTCGACGATACACATCACTTAAGCGGATACATTCCGCGGATGTGATGTGAATTGAAAGAAAAAGAGAAAGCGGCAAAGTGTAGGAAGAATAGGGGATAGGGTGTCTCGCCTCCTCCCCACTTGGGAACTCGTAGCACGTGCGACCCATGTACGCACGTACAAGATCCTCTCCGACGACGACGTTTCCACGTGTGTGCAAAAGCAGTCATGTGAAATTCTAAATTCTTGGGTCTACACATTACACACACACACACACACACACACACAAACGTTACTTGATCTTCTTTCTGGCGTATTACCTGAACGAATGG